TTCATACTGTCTGTGGTATACTTGGAAGGATAATTAGGGGTTCTAAGTAGACATAGTGGGGGAATCACAGATGTCACCTACTCCGCATTACCACACCCTTGCTATCAGAAGGACTCCCTAAAAGGAGATCTGATTGTTTCATGCCCTTACTTAGGTCCTTCAGAAGCGTCCTCCCACCTAATACTTATCAGCTTCTCAGGACCATTCACAAGATCGCCACTTGACTGGTGACTCAGCTAGCCTCCTTCCATATCCCAGCCCAGACAGCTTTCTCTGTTTTCTTAGAGAATGTGCTTCAGCCCTATACTCGTGCTTTTACTGCTTCTTATCCTTTCTTGGCAAGATACCTTTAACATCTTCCTTGCTCTTTATTTGTTTTTGATCCTGAGGGTGGAACTCAAGACCTCCCACATGCTAATCATGTGCTATGCCTCGGAGCTACATCATAACCAACATCTTTCTTTTTGAGACTTTCCTGCACTTGAAGTCAAAGGCTAGACCTAGATGATCAGATACTGTTGTGTGAGTATAGAGCAATAAAGGGAATTTATAAGCTAAGCCACACCTATGGTAATTTCACTGTATTGTACCTTCACTGGGCGTTTCACAACTGGAAAGAGGGATGTCTCTTAAACCTTGTCTTAGTTACTTTTCCTTATTGCTGGGACAAAATACCCAATAACCACAATTTAAAGAAGGAGAGGTTTATTTTGGTTCATCTTTTTTGTCCATAGTAGGCCAGCTCCAGGGCAGAAAGGGATGGTGGAAGGTCCTGGGCAGAGAGCTGCTCATGGTATGGCAACCAGCAAGCAGAGAGAGAATCAAGGAACAGATTAACAGAGATATAGCCTTGTAGGCTATGCCCCCAGTGATCCACCTCTTCCAAATGGAGCACACCTACTATTAGCATTTCAGCCGTATGCCCCCTAATCAAGTCATCTCACAAAAGCCCCACCTCTGATTACATGACACTTTGGGGGAACATCTAGATATAAACCATAGCAATCCTTTAGATGGGAGTCATTATCAAATAATGCAAGATCCAGCATCTCAACATATGAGCCTGGGTAGGGTGGATATCTTAAGTTACTTTCTTATTGCTGAGACTAAGTACCAGACACCCACCACTTAAAGGAGTAATGGCTCACATTCTGTAGAAGTTGCAGTCCATAAAACAGTGGCTCCACTGCAGGACAACATGGTAAAGAGGCATAGTTATCATGGCAACCTGGAAGCAGTCAAGGGAGCAGCCAGAAAGAGATACAGCCTTCCAGACCATGTCCACTGTCACCCGCCTCCTCTGACCAAGTTTTTCCCAACATCACATTTAGCTATAAACTATCAAGGGACTTATCCACTGATGATCAGCCCACCCCCATGATCCAGTCACTTCCAAAGCCCTACATATGAGTATATGAGGCTTTGGAGGGACATCTAGATATAAACCATAATAATGGATATAGATAGGGAAGAGGCTAAAGTGAGGTGAGGGGAAGTAGCTTTCCAGGATGGAGCAGATTTGCTGAGATTCATACCCTTCTCAAGCGGAGGAGGAGAGGTTTATTTTTGGCACACAATTTCAGAGGTTTTCATCCATGATCAACTAACCCCAGCACAAAAACATCATGGCAGAAAGGTATATTGGAGCAAAGTTGTTCAATCATGGTATCCAGGAAGCAAAGTAGGTTGGAAAAAGCCAGAGAGGAAGAACAGTCCTCAAAGTCATGTCCCTATGACCCACTTCCTCCAACTAGGCCCCACTCTGAATAGCTCACTCAGCTATGAATTTATCAATGCATTCACCCATTGATGAGGTTGGTTGCTTCCCAATCCAGTCAGTAGACCAGGTGCACCATCATGAGTGCAGACAGGGCATATTAGTCTATCATCACAGATGTGTAAGCTATGTTTCTTTTCCTAAAGCTTTTTCTCAAGAGTGTAATGTGTGTAAGTTTGCAATTTTAACCATTTTTCTCACCATTTATCTTGGGACATTTAGTTTTTCATTTTGAAAGAACATTTTTAATAAATTTATTGTTAATTTTAGGGAGAACTGACTTATCTTAGTTCATTCTAATGTTATGTACTTTTATGCTTGAGTTATTTACTATGAGTTTAGTTATTGCCTATTTTATTTATCATTTTATAGTACACATTTTCAGTGGAGATGCTTAGGCTAAGCTATATTTATTTATACCACAGTACATTAGCCATAAAACTAACTATAGTAAAACCACCATAATCTGGAACCCTTGAGGAGTGGGTTATTCAAAATAGCCAAATTTTAAGAATTAACATTAACTATTTGTGTTGGAAATCTTTCTGTTTGCCTTTTAACCTGAAAACAATATATGAAGTCTCATTTAACTTTGACAGCAAGTCATAGTCATCAGTAAGAATTGGATTGTGTAACTCAGTTCTCGTTAAAGTATTTAGTTAGTTAAAGTTCTCGTTAGGTATTTTGTGTTAGTTGTTTTTGTTGTTAAGTTGTTTTAGCTCTCACACTGGTATTGCTTAAAACTCTTAATATGGCTTTGATTGCTGCCAGCTGTATTTTTCACTGGCCTTATCTCTAGATCTCCTTCTGACTTTCAGATCTTTGCTTTTAAGCTTCTGTGGCGTTGGAGATCAGGGAATGGAGCTTGTTAGAATATTTCCAGAGGAGTGTGGAAGGGCTTCCACAGGTCAGTGGTGGTCAGACTCTGCAGTCATGGATTTACTTGCAAGCAATTCTGGCCCCACTTTAGAGTCTTAGTCGCCAGCTGTGGATTTTAACCCCTGGGAAGTGAGAAGAAGGTAGTATCTCCCCTGCTGCCTCTTCACATCCTTCTTCTCCCAGAGCTCTGCAAAGGCTGCTTCCAGCCAAGTCAGGGGAGCTCTGGGGCCTAAGTCACAGACCTAAGGGAGCTAGTTGGACACAACCTACAATAAAAAACCCAGTTTAAAACAGGACTTATTTTAAGTTTATGAGCCTTTTTATGGCTATATAATGATACTGTCCTGCTAACCCCCCCCCCGTTTCCTTCCCTTTTGCAATGCTGGGGATCATATCCTGGGTCTCACATATACCATGCAAGCGCTCCACCGCAAAGCTAGAACTCAGCCTATCCTTTCTCTGCATTATCCTATCGTTTATGAACTGTAAACATATGTTCTTTCACTTGTACTTCACTGAGACTAAAGCTAAAGCCTTAATTTTAAAAAAGTATCTCTGAACAAAATTAGAGAGCCCATAATAATTGTAGTTTTTCTTTTCGTTTTGCACATTATTTTGGGTACATTATGTACAATTCTTAGGTTCTTAGCACAGTAGCAATGAAAAATGCTTTGTTGAAAGTGCCAGCAGGTGAATGTTGGACCTAAGCTTTAAGGTGTTATATACTATGTTACACCTTCTCCACTGACTTTATTTTTTCTCATCAGGGCTTCAGAACACTGCAGAGATTATGTTGTCCCTTGTGTCGTAGCCAGGAGGCCAGAGGTACAGAGGTATCAAGTGTTTCTCCCAAGGTTACCCCACTGTTGGTACTTGCAGGTTCAGGTCCAGACCAGCAGTGGTGGGTTTTGCCACTAGTTCTAGTACTCATCTTTGTGCATGTTAGTAAGACCTGGTTCTGACTGTGTAGACTAGGGTCACCAAACCCTCTGAGTACATGGTCACACAGAGGGAGAAGGACTTGACCTCAGGGCATATGACCCCAGGGGGAGAAGGCTCATCATCCTGCTGCCCCCAGAGAGGGTTGAGGCTGCCCATGGGTGTTCAACTACCAATTCCAGCTGGCCAGCTGGTGCCATAATTTGGGTTCATTGGTACTAATATAGTGGCCTTAATATTCCATTACTTTTAGAGAACTAGATATTACTATATTTTGCTTAATTGTGCTTTAGTCACATGTTAGTAGTCAGTTAATGAAACTGTTTTCAACATTAGATGCAAAAGTATTTGGGAATAAATTCTGATCCATTTCTTAATACAGTGTCTGTACCACTCATTTTGAAGTGAAAATTCTTTGGCTTTTAGATTTTAAAATAAAGCTATTCTTTGGGTTTGAAAAATAGTCTTTCTCAAAAATAATTGATATGTAATTTGCAGATTCTACAGCTTATTGTTTTAAGACTTGTTAATCCCCCCTAGCACCAAAAAAAAGTGTTAAGGAGAGGATGTATTTAGCCAATGTTTTTGATGGTCTAAGATGTTACCTTCTTTATAGATTAATATTTCAATAATCCGTCAACAAATGTATGTTTTTCTTTACATTTCTGTTTGGGTGTGTATATTTATTTGCTGATGGACCTCGGATTGCTTTGTGAGAAGTCAGCTCAACCCCAGAATTCTAAAATGTCCTCTTTATCCTCTTTAGTTTTAGAAGAAAATCAAAAATTTAGGCTGACCTCCTTACATTAACTGACTGGTGCTACTAAGTTAATCCTGTAATTATATTCATTTCTAAAAGATGTTACTATAATCTTAGAAATATTAAAGATTTAAACTCTAAAGATTGGTATGAAAATGATTAAATTTTCCCTATTATTTTCCCCTCTCTCCCAGTGTGATTAATTTCACTCTGTCTTACTCTATGATCCATGATGCTTCTGCTGAGACTCCTCATTCAGTAAAACCTGTTTAGGAGATCATCTCTGTTAGACAGACAGCTGCCAAAAAGACATTCACTTCAGCATGGATTTTAGATTATAGCCAATCAAGACTCAGAGCTGGAACACCTGTCAGAGCCGTTTTTCTACAACAAGATGGTCTCTTTAATCACATTTCATTCTCCTTCAGAAAAAGGTTCATTTTAAAATGTGGCATCTGCTTTTATGATTCATTGTTTTCAGCTGAACCACCAATTTGGAGCTGATTTATGACATCGTTCTATAGTGAAACGAGAAACTGCAACAAAGTGTTTAAGAAGGAAGGATTTTCCCAGACATTTGGTTTGTGGCCTTCTCTTTTAGAAAAAAAAAAATCTAAAAATTTATTTTGAACTTTTCTTTGTGAATATAATTGACAATAGGAATTCTTCAAGCAAACTTTCAAAATATGTAAACTAAATTGTGAAAACATCTCATGGAATGTGGAGAACTTTCCAGTGTTGAAATGTGTTAAATTTATCTGTGAACATGCAAAGTATTATTGATACTGACTGGTGTTTAGAGGAATTATACTTGATTTTGAACTTGGCTATAGTCGGAGGCACTGCTAAGTACTTGAAACACAGGTACTTTCTAACATCTGCAGACTGTACTGAGTGAGTATAACTATTACAAGACAAACTTCATTTTGCAAACTGTAATTTAATGGTATAACAGTGTGCAGAGCAGAATATCAGTTAATTTTCAAAACATTTTATTCTACACCAATTAGTTCAGGTCCTGGAGGGCAAAATGACAAGAGGTTACTCGTTCACTATGTATTTAATTAATTGAAAAATGCTCAAATTGCTTTTACAGTTGTTATTAAAAAGTAGAATCAGTGTTGCCAGTGCTCAACCATAATTGGAACCCTGGGGAATTAAATATTTAGCATTAGTAATGTTACAGCACTTAGGACACAAATTTCTATTTTCGTAATGAAAGCTATACACTGTGAGTGCAGGCGGCTGAAACGACAGCTGTGACAAGTGAAACGGCCTGGGATATTTCAATAAGACACCTCATTGGACAGCAAGTCTTACCACATTACCCGTTTGTAAGAGATCTGCAAGTTTAATTCCCAATAGAAACGCGTTACCCAAGTATTTAGATTTCTAATTGCATGTGGGATGAACAGTTGGGCAAATGTCTTGCCATAAGTGGCTGAAATGTATAGTGCTTTCTAAATAATCCTATATAAGTTCATGCCTTTGTCAATTTAAAAAGAGCAGGACTGTCAGGGAATAAAGATCTTGTTTGTTTTAAGTTTAATTACATTTTAAGCATACAAGCTTTGAGTGCTACAATGAGAAAAGTTGGATATTGGGCTCTAATGAGCTGCAGTGGTAGACGGCTAGAGACCCTAAGGGATTCACTCTGTAAATTAACTGGATAAAAGTACTTGCTTAGGATATAGTTGATGGCTGAGCTGTTCTTAAAACCCAGTTATAGAGCTGTCTCTCACTCCTGTTTTCATTCTAAACAGGCCCTGCAGAGATTTTAACAGCCGCCTGTTACAACTGTTCAACTTGTCAAAATGTATTATATTACTCCACTAATAAATAGTATTAAAGGGTATTTGCCTTCATTTCTCCTTTTCAGAGGGGATCAGGTTGATAAACACAACTGGCTTAGTTTGGCCTTATTTTTAATTTGTTTATGTCATCTGCAGTGATATTGAAGGCCCATGGTTTGAGTTTGCAAGCATTACTTTCCTGGAGACATAAAACTAAGCAAAATATTATGTACAATGGGAACAGTGAACGGAGACTGTTTGCTATAGATGTTTGTCCATGACTTTCTTAGCCTACATCTGAAATATTTGAAAACCCATCAGTAGACTGACATTCTTTGAAGCATGGGTAGACGAATTCCTTTGCCAATCTTTCTAACTTTTCTTAGAAAAAAGCTATACTTTCATAATTTTCTTTCTCTTACCATTGTCTCAGAGGTTAACTTCTCTAAGGCCTCATTGTGAATAATCAGCAGCAGAACCTTTCTTCAAACCCTCGTTTGGCATATCAGTGTCTGTGCTTTTAGTGAATATATCATGTCTAGAGAAACACTTCTTTTTAAACTATGACATGTTTCCTTATTAGTGAGTTGAATGTGATTTCACATATTAATAGCCATCACATTTCTTTTGAGAATTGGGCTGTTCATGTCTTTTGCTTGTTTTCCTTTAGTGTCATCTTCTTGTCACATTACAAAAGATCTTTATTGATTATAGATTTTGGTGCTCTTGGAGATACATTATCAAGTATTGTTTTCTTAGCCTGTTGCCTTTATTTTTACTTTGTTTTAACTTAATATTATTAACTTATGTTTTATGGACTGAGAAGGCTTTTACTACCCAAAACTACAAGTATATTTTTTCCTACATCTTTTTCCAAGACTTAATTTTTTTCAAATTTTTGCAAGTTTTCAAGGTGGAGTTTATTTGTGAGTATGGTGTGAATAAAGATCATGCCTTTTTTTTCCAGTAACATCTCAGATTTCCTCTTGTGAACTGTCCCATTCCTTTTCCTCCATGGTCTGAAAAATGCCCTGAGTCTAATGCTGTATTCCACCTATGTATTTCTCCATGTTGCCAGGTCTGTGGGAATATTTCATTTATGGGATATTTATACCTAATCCTAGAACATCGAATTTTTTATCATTATAAAAGTAAATTTAATTCTTTTTAGTTTTTAAGAAATGCTCTCAGGTACTCTTAAATTATAAAAGTGATACATATTTGTAAGTTTATAAATACACATAGATGTAAACTTGCAGTGAGGATGGCCACGCCGTGATTCATAGTACCTGTGAATGAACTATATACAGTTGCAGATGGAATTTTTAAACAGCACTTAAGTGATTAATGCTTTGGGGAGGGGGCTAGTTCCCTCCCCAAAGAAAACAAACTAGAAAATGCAGCTGTATGATTTCTACTTTGGATAATATGCTAAGAATTCCTTTGTAGTTGAATGCTTAAAGTTTTGTAAATAACCCATGCATGTTGAAACAGAATTTGTGTTCTCTGCTTAGGAAAATATCTTCATCTCATTAAATCAAGCTTGTTAATTGTGTTTTTCAAATCTACTCTCTTATTCTCTATATATCTCACTCGTCAATTTCTGAGAGTCTGATTTTCAGAAGTTCTCCTGTATTTTTAATAATTTGTTTATATATTTTGGTGCATTGTTTTTGCATGGAGTAAGATTTGTTTTTACCCTGTCTTCTTGGTGGTCATTCCTCTGATTGTTGTACACTGACCCTCTGATTATAGGAGAAAGACTTTGCCCTAGTGTGGTACTCCTTCTTACATATGACTCACGGCTAGAGCTGCCTTGTGATTTTCTTTCCACAATGAGCTCTCCCCATACATTTCTCCTTCTATTTGGTGAACAGTGCTCAGCTGCAAACACTGCAGGTACAACCCACCATGCCAAGAGTGAGGACTGGGACTAACAGGCTGGCATTAGGATGAGCCAGAGGAGATCCATGGAGTGCACACAGTTGAGGCAGTCACTTGTGATTCTCTCCCTAAAGTAGCTGCATTCCAGGTACTTCGCTTGCCTCAGCATAATCCCCATCCCCCCACCCCAATAGAGTCCACTGTTGTCTGGCTTGGTGAGCCTGTCAGTGATCTTGATTAGCCCATCGTCCACCCCTTTTTTGTATTTGTCATGTCTGTGTTTGCTCTTCCTCTACTCCATTAAGAAGGATCATCTTCATTTCCATAATAGCTATTCTTGTACCTGCTTGGGTTGTGGTTTACTCTGGTGTTTCAAGTAATCTTTTTCTGTTTTTATTTCCATGGTGAATTAGTCAGCAATGAAATAACACTGATAGGCTTATAACAAAAATGAAATGAATTTTTACTCTTCTCCATCCCCTCTATTCAGAGGTAACCCTTTAAAATTTTCTAGTTCTTTTTTCTGTCATTTCTAAATAATGTGATTACTGTTTTCTCTTTAGCTATCAACAATAGCTATATTTTACTGAGTTCCATTCATGAAGAACATTGCTTTATTTGTCATCCCTGTTATTCCTACTTGTTCTTCAGTATTAAGATTATTGTCATACCTGTAAATAACATTTAATGCTGGGGAAAACTAAGGTACTTCTCTAATCATTTTAAATACTTAAAAACTAACACTGGCCTCATCTCTATATTTCATTACTTCCATATGCTCCATCAAATCTATTATCAAACCCATTATCAGTATTTTCTAAATAGCTATTATACAATCATTTATCATTTGTCTTTGGACTGTTTCATTACTCTTTTTTAGAGAACTCTCTCCAGAAACCCTTCTTTTCTCTTTCCTCAATTTGGGGCTTTTTTTGCTTTGACACTTGGCTGTCATCCTGAAACTTATCTTTGTGTCTTCCTGTCTTGGACTCTGTTTTAATGGCTTTATCCCTTTCTTGCTTCTTATTTTCAAGGGGCACATCTCTAGATTGTTCTAAAGAAAAATTCATGTAAGTAAAGTGTTTCCATCTGAAAACGTTTTTCCTGTAGGTGCTGTATAACACTTTTCTAAGAGCTCTATCTTATGTCTTCTTCCTGTTCTGTGACAGCCTGTTCTCGTTTCATCTTCTGTTCTAAATATATCTTAAATATATCTTAAACACTATTGTCTGCACACAGTTTCCTACAGAATTATTTTTGTTTGTTTAGGTCTTTCTCTTACATATTAGAGGATTTCCTCAAATGTCTTATGATCATTATCTATAATACTTAAGAGAAAAATTCTACTAAAAAACTAATTGGAAACTTCATGTCAATTTTTAGAGCTTTTTAGTGGCCGAGTTTCAGAGCAGTGTGATTAAGAGGTGAGCAAGTGTTTGCTGTGGGAGACCCTTGAATTTCTGGATCTAGAGGTCTCTCTTTTAGGCTTGGGTTTCAAGGGGTAAAATCTCCACTCTTCTATTTGGGAGGCTGGTACTCTGAAAACGGGGAGGCAGAAGGGGATCAAGAAGCTCACCATTCTGTGTGCTCATTTTGTAAAGCCCTATTCCTTGTTTTGGCCCTTTTCTATATGTCTTGTACCTCTGTCTCTAAGTCTGGTGGGTAATTTAATTTTTTCTGTCCAGATAGTTGCTTGGACATGTTGGACAGGGGGACCATGTGGAATTCTGACTCCTACACAGCTTCTGCCTATCTGCATGTTAGCCCTCTTCCTTCATGATACATTGTACTGACCCCTCTGGCACCTGAGCCTTAATGTTCTATGGGCTCCCTTCTCATCATCGATCCCCTCTGCAAAATTTGATTCTAGCACCTCCTTAAAGACAGTTTATCACTTATCTACTCACTTTGTCTTCTAAAGTGGTTTTGATTTCCTTTCAAGTTATTTTGATACCTATAATCCACTGATATCATCATCTGTTCCTTTCCTTGAGCACTTGTACTCTTTATATAGTTCTAGGTAATGGCTTCAGGAAGGTTTAGAAAAGAAAGGAGATTAAATGTTTGTGGTAGTTAATTTTAAATTCAGTGCTCCCATCTGCTTTCCATCTTTCAGAAATGTGTTCAGTGTTTTATTTGCTAACAGCTCGGTGTTGCCAAAGAAATATTTGTTTACTTTTTTCTCCAATTTAAACTAGAAATTGACTATCTTGAAGT